GAAGCAACATCAGACTTTTTTGCCAAGACATTAAAATCCCTTTTCAGCATGACCCTGGCCTAACACCTTCAAGATCCACTCCCAAGTCTACTTCCCAGGTGCATGGCAAGTCAGGTCTTTCAATTATTTTGATGAACAATCTATTTCTTCCCACAGCAGGGACTGTCCATCCCTTCCCAAGGCAGGGCTGCAATCAGACCATAGTCATTGGTCTTGAAACAAAAAGGGAAGGTAGGTGTGGATAAAGTGAAGGTTTCTATGGCCAGGATCCTCACCTGGCCCCAGTCAGCTAGCTCACTACACACATGTGGGCAATACGTTGCTTCTGACTCTACATAAAGAGCTCAACCCAGTGCACTGGGCAACACAGTGGCATGGCTGCATGGCTGCTGCATGGCTGCATGGCTGCTGCATGGCTGCATGGCTGCATGGTTGCTGCGTGGCTGCAGGAGAATAGAGACTGGAGTGGTGGTGGTGCCAAGTGGAGACAGCTGCAGAGGCAGAGAGGCCCAGAGGCAGAGACTGGCTTGCTGCATGCAGACTCGCTCTGAGTGGATGGGATTTTAGTGATTGACCTGTCACTATGGCAATAAAGTTGGGTATAAACCCTTTCACCCCAAGAACGTTCCATTGTCATTTTTCAGTCTCATTGAGTCCATAGTGAACTTGCCCGGGGCTAAAATCCATTGGCAAGACAATTGGTGACAATGGCAGGATTCTTTGTTGACTGAGGAACAGAGCAGGCTGCCCTCATGGGAGGAGTGCTCCATGGGCTGCCCCTATGGATGCGGAGACATTCAAGTGTCCCCCAGTGGACAAGTGGTCCAACATGGCTTGCCTCCTAAAGGACTGGGCTGCACCCCAAGACTGGGAAGGAGTGCAGACAACACCTGAAGCAGTGAAGTTGGCCCTCAGCAAAATAGGGAATCCCTTAGAGAAACAGTGTCTGTGAGGTGGCAGGAATCATGGGGAGTGTTTTACTCACAATATTGTGAAAGGCTATGAGGGAGAAAGACATTCTCCTACAGGAGGCACAGGAAGGGGCATCATGAGAGTGTGAGCTGCAAAGTGTACTGTTGAGGAGGTAAAAAATTTGTTGGTGACTGAAATGGTGTCACTACGAGGTGCTGTGTAAATGGTAAAGGATATCACGGTGGCCTGAGAGGAAGCAGGACAAGAAGGAGCAGTGGCCCAAGCAGCAGCAGCACAAGAGTGCAGGCTGCCAGGTGCTGTGGGGCAGGTGAAGGATGTTAGTGGAGCCATCAGCCCCAGACATGGAGCAGAGGTTTGATGAACAAGTGGGGGTGGAGGCCCAGCGAGTGCTGGAGATAGCCCCTCCTAGGTTTAAACCCCCCAGGTTGAAAGTTGGTGGAAAGCCTAAAAGAAAATGAAGACTCGGCAATCAAGGGTTCCTCCACGAGAGGTGCAGTCCCGTCCCAGGTCGTGGAGCACTCCATGCTCTGCTCCTATAGTCAGGCTCAAGTAATGAAAGCACAAAAGTAAATATGGTCTGCTACTCAAAGAAAGAATTCAAAGGGCCCCATGAAGGTCACAAGAACCCAGATGTGGGTTGATTTAATAAAAGCAGGAGCAGACAGACAGAAATGGGATGGAAAGTGAAGCAGAATCTTACTGGAGCTGTGGCAACAATTGAAACCAGAGCAGAGGTTCCGATCGCTGAGGACAAAGAATCAGAAGCCAGAGACAAAGCAACAAGTGTGTCTGCAAGACTTTCTGCGGGAGAGGCTGGAGGTTAGGTATTGTATGACCCACCCATGGTCCTTTTGGTTAACTCATTTGAGTAGAACTGATTTGAATACAGCGAAGATGACCACTTGGTGGCAATGGATCTCCTCAGGCTTGAGGGTTATTTTAATTTGTAATTTTTGTTATTTGTATATTGTCATATGTATATTGTTATTATGTTATTAAGGAATTTGGTTACAATGTTCCAGCTTCTTCACACAGAGACCATTATAGATTGAGAGCACATAGAGGCGAGAATCCGGAGGGGTGGAGTGTGGATAAAGTGAGGGTTCCTATGGCCAGGATTCTCACCTAGCCCTGGTCAGCTAGCTCACTACACATGTGTGGGCAACATATTGTAACTGACTCTATATTAAGAGCTCCACCCAGTGCTCTGGGGGACAGTGGCATGGCTGCTGCACAGCTGCAGAGGCTAGAATGGTGGCAGCACTGAGGACAGAGACTGAGACAGCCGTGGGGGCAGAGGCTCACAAATAGAGACCTGCTTGCTGCATGCAGACTCATTCAGAGTGGATGGGATTCTAGTAACTGACCTGCCACCATGGGAATAAAGTTGGGTATAAACCCTGTCACCCCAAAAATGTTCCATTGTCATTTGTCGGTCTCATTGAATCCATAGTGAACTTGTCCAGGGCTGAAATCCATTGGCAAGACAGTAGGGCTGACGTTGACAAATATCATCTTTGAAGCATCTGCCTCAGGTATGGTTTTTGCATGTCAAGTGGTAGTGTTTCAGGAAATGGCTGCTCTTCTTTAGCTAGGGGGTGGGAGTTTCTTCTGCCTTCCCAAACCATTCAGGGGAGCATGGGAGACCAAGATCCTGTCTCTAACCCAGGTCTGTGTCCCTATCTTTCCTGACAAAAGCCCTGACTTTGACAAAAGGACCTGCCACAGATGTACCTTGTCTCCATTGCTGCTCTGCCACTCTTGCACAAGCAAATCTTGGGTCTGACTATCAGCACATTCTACCCTGTAAGTTTCAGATCAGTCTCTAAACTGTGCTGTGAAGGCCTTCTGGTTTTTATGGCATACCACAAGTTGGTAGTTGGTGATAAGCCGGCCATTTTTAAAAAGCTTTTCATAGCAGTTAATAGAAGTCAGCCAACTAAACAATTCTTAACTACCACTGACCAATGTGGTAGAGCTTTCACATAGCCCACTTCCCTCTCCTGTCTTAACCCATCACAGGCACTTAGTAGTGATGACATAGGATGTCCTAGCTTCTCATCAACCTGTTTAATTACTACCCAGAGAGCCTTTGCTGCATCCGCCAATGACCAATCCAGTTCCCACACCCCATGTGGAGGGTCTGCTAAGGCCACGTCTAGTACCACTGCTCAGTCTGGTTTCTCCCCAGAAGCAAAGCCTGTGACAAGACTTTATGTTCAATAGTATATTTGGGAGGCGGTCCCATAGTGAACAGGAGGAGAGGGCAAGAGGGTGTAAAGCAGGGAAGGGAAAGAGTTGACATGGTCATAAGTACCTGAGGTGTTGTCCCACCCAGCACATTTTGTTGAGTGTGCCAAATACCTCAGAGTTGCCCAGCTAAGGACCAAATGGAGAAGCATTTCTCCCCTGATTCTTGCCCAAAAGTGGTTGTGAGTTGCCTCAGGAAGGGTTAAGTCCCCAGTACTTTCAGGCTACACATACTTCAATGCTGAGTGGGCTTCTGTCAGTATTTGGTGACATGGTGTCAGAGAAGGCTAAATGCAGAAAACAAAAGGTCTGTGGGCCAAGCACTGAAAGGAAGACTCTGCTGATAGTGAATCGTGCTACCTGGCACTGTCCTGCAGCTGTGACTGGCCTGAGAGATGGAGGCAGCCCACCAGAGACATCCAACACCTAAGGGTTTACTGAACCATTTCCCTACTGACTGGTGCTTACCTTACAACCATTCTCTGAAGTAGAAATGATATTGAGATGAACTTCTATTTCATGTTTTTATTCTCCTTGTATTTTGAATTACTTACTTTGGTTACATCCCCAAAAGTGGAATTATTAGGTCAAAAGGCATGAACATGTTAAGGCTTTTAAAACACACTGCCAGATTACTTCCAATAAGTTTTGAATAGCAAAGACTTATACTTGACTGGCAGTTGTGAGACCACTGCCTTTACCGAATAAAACGCCAACTGCTGTTAATACTCTAAATTGTTGTTTTGCAGGCTTGAATTTACATGATTTGGGAGATTAAGCAATCACAGAAACAATAAAACCAACTTGAAAATCCTATAATATTGCATTCCTTCCATGCCCATCTTCACCTTTCCTACCCGCAAGCTCTTAATTGCCTTTTGGTTGACTTCAGTGTTCTCCCTGGTGTTTATTTAATGGCCACTAAAGACAGCTCTGCTTCTGCTCAATGAAGCAGTGGGTCTCTCCAGGACAATATTTTTCCAGGGTTTTGCCAGTCTCTGCCTTCACATGGCTTCCCTTATTCTGAGAGATGCAATAATGGACATTTACAATAAATGCCTCTCCTGGAGACACCTTGCTTATTTGGTGTTTTGTTTTGTTTGTGATGTACACTTCTAAAAGGTAGGGTGGCCTTCAAGGAAAGTTATGGGGTGGCAGAGATAGATGCTATTTCTCTCATTTTCACTGTAACTACTCAGCCAGTCAGCCCAGTTGGATACTGTTGTACAACTGGCCTGCAAAGCTTCATCTGTCTGATGACTTTAATCATCAAGACAGGAGGCTTCTAAACTTTATTCAGATTCTAGTTGCTCTTGGCTGCCATCAGTACTCCATCATGGGTTCACAGGCAGCCAACTAGGAGCAGGGCAGGAGGTACAGGCTGGTTCCGCCTTGTTGGAGCACTGTCACAGTGCCTTAGGGACAGTCACTGGGAACACACGGCAAGGAAAGACGGAAGGGGAAGGAAAAGAGAAAAGAAAAGACAGAAAAAGAAAGAAAACCCAGGCTGTCTTCTCAACAGGGCCGCAACTCCAAGTCCAAGTCTAGGCAGCTGCTTTTCTCCACAGGGACAAGACCTGGCCATGCCAGGAGGAGGTGCCCATGCCAGGACCTCTGGAACCAGTCTGCAAGGGCTTCAGCTCATATTATGTTCCTTCCACTAGGCAATAAGTTCCTAACTCCTTACTCTATTTGTCTAAATTGCACAGAGCAAATGCCACAACTGAAATACTCATCTTCATAAATTAGCTCTTTTCCCAGGGCTCTTTAATGTTGACTGGGGGGTTTTTGTTCCCCTGGAAAAAAACAGAAACGGCTTAACCCATGAACAGACTTTATTCCAACATACTACATTGTGAGGAGAATGCAGGCTTATAAGAAGAGCCTTCTGGAGCCATTTAGAATGGCCTTCCCTTCTGTTCCTCGAGTAGGAAGGCAGGCTGAGGAATCAAATGACAACATCTCTAAAACAGCATTCTTAATGTTGATAAAACTTGGATATCTTACAAAACACCTGGGAGTGGTTATAAGACACAAAGCAATTTCAAAACAAGAGTGATAAGGTTGACCAAGGACCAAAATGGCTGCTGAGCCCCTCCCCCTAGGGAGCTTCACCCAGATCTCGTGGAGGAGAGGAAGCAAGAACTGGGCTACGCAGGACTCAGGGAGGCTCTCAGCCTGCTGGAAGCCCTGGGTCTGTACTTGGAGCATGTGCCTCCTCCTTTCTTCTCCCCCACAAGCACTTAACTACAGGGAAAACGAATCTTTTGTTTATGGTGATTCTTATTTTGAAAGCTCTATAGGGGAAAAAAATTCACAAACTACTTTTCATTAACATTTCTTTTAAGCCATTTTTCTCTTATGTCCTTATTCTAGGGGGGTTGGAGTTGTTTTGCATTCCTGCAACAGGAGATAAACGATTACCTTGGGGAAGCCCGTGACTACAGCCCAAACTTGACTGCCATTCACTGGACGAGGATCAGGATTTCCAGGGAGTCAGTGAATGGCATTTTGGCTTACAGCTGAAGAACTCTAGCCACACCAAACCAGACCAGAAAATAGACTTTAATTTTATGTTTATAAATGTGGCCTAATATTCTTAACAATTAAGAAAAATGTATACAAACTTTGGCTTAAAAGGAAAAGTAAAAACAAACACTCCACAGTAGAGGGTTGATGCACGAATCACCCTAGAAATCCAACTTTCTGTCTCTTGGGCCCCAGGCTTTCTTCCTTGTGCAGAACACTCTGCAGGGAGGCATGCAGCACCTTGCCCACTCGTTTGCCAGTCTGCAGGGCAGAAAAGGAGCAGAAGAAAGCACAGACCCAGTTGTGAGGCATATACACTCTGACCAGGAAAAACTTCCCTTTCTGCCAGGTAGCCATTCCCAAACTGAACACATTCATTCATCTGCCTTACAGGACTTTGACTTAAACAATCAATACAAAAAGAAATCTCAATCCCCCAAAACATCATAGTTACATTCTGGGAAACCCTCCATACTAAAACAAAGAAAAAGAGATGCTGACCCCTAGGCAGCAAGCAGGAAGTAGCAAATGCTGCCTCGGCCATTAGTTCACACTTAGCATTACTGGTACTGTTACAACAAGCAGCTAAATCTGGACTTTGTCGCAGACAAGTCCCACTGTACTCCAGGGAGTAGGCACGCGAAGACCACAGCAGCCACAGAGCTCCCGTCACTCTAAGAAAGGAACAGATGGTGCTGAGGACGTGTTTTAAAAGGTAGTTTCTCATACACTTGCTACCAAATCTCCAAGCAGAACTGCTCAGATGGAACCAAAGGCAATACCTGGACAGGGTCTTTGGTGTCACTGACATGCAGAGAGGTGCTGAGAGCATGAAACGTTGGAATAAAGACACTTCAAGAGGTCAGTCAACCCACAGATTTCCTAATTAGCCCCTACACAGAAACACAAGAGGCCCCACAAGAAACCCTGATATATAAAATCTTTATGAAACTGCTATTCTGTCTTTGGGCTCATGAAGCATTTTAGGAATGAATACAATGTCTCTACCTCATCGTCTTCTATATAGCAGTTTTAATTCACATGTGTCACTAGTACTATTCTCAAGAGTGTCCAGGAGAAATACCCTCAGGCCTAGACTTCTGCCCAATCCTCCCAATTATAGGTGTATTCTCCCCAGAGTTGTGTGCCCTCTTCCCAGCCCCAACTGTAACATGAGACAGGGACCATGGGTGTAGTCAGAGTAGGGCAAGGGCCTCCAGAAAAAGACCCCTACTAAAACTCCCTATTAAACAGCTAAACAAAGACAGAATCATACTAATTCTCTTAAGTAAAGTATCAGGCTAAGAATATAAGCATTCTTCAATAAGGATTAGTTAAAAAAGCCAGAAATGACCTAGCCTGGAATGTTTGAACATTCCCCAGATGAGAAAATACCTCTTCATAGTCCACGTCTTGTTTGTGTTAATTAAATGAGGCTGTTGTAAAACTTTAACCTGCTAAAAAGCACAGTTTATCTTTAACTTCATCCGGATGCTGTTTTTCCTCTTACAGCCCCTAACCAAGTAAATATCACAAGCAAGACCAGCCATAAACAACATAGTGAGACAGGAAGGATGCCATCTTAAAGATAAGAAACTGAAACTGAGACTATTTAACAAACAGACAATAATTCCACTCACCCAAAAAGGAAAACAGCTCACCCTGAGAAGAAAACAAGCAGCCTTGATTAATACGCTCCACAAACAAGAAACTGCTATTCTAAGGAAGAACCAAAGCAGTAAAATTTCTTATGCTAACTCCACCAAATAGTCTGGGAAACTAATAAGAGACTTAGTGTCTCTTTTAAAATAAACATCTGGTAGACACATGCCTAACTCTTAAGTCTCCCAACTGCCTATGAATTCCCTAGACAAAGTACCACCGCAGACACTCTTGTCCCCTCCTGGTGTAAGCCGGGAGCTCTGACCTTTCACTGTATCTCTAAATAAAAGCCTGTACTTTGCTCTCCTACCTTGACTGTTTGTGAAGCTCATTCTTCGGCTTCGTGAACAAGAACCCCGGCATCAATGGCACGAGACTCCAAGTATTACTGAAAATGCTTATGAAATCACTTCCATGAAATGCAAAGTCAGGATTAAGGTCCAAAGTGACTTTGGGAAGATTTTTATCATAACACTGAGACAAAAAATGCCAAAGCCTGTTGAATAGGGATACTGACTATTCATATAAATGAAGGCAGGGAAAGAGGATAAAAGGAGATGAGCGAGGACACCACAACTTGTGAGGCTTGGACCTGGACTTTCAGGAAAGAGGATGCAGACATAGGGGGTGCAGCCTGCACGGGAACTCTGAGGTTCTAAATTTCACCAGCACAGGCTTTTCCTGGTGGCTGCATCCCTGTGTGAGACAGTGACAAAGGCCACAGGCTGTGGTTGCCCCAAGCAGGCATGCAGGCCACATTCCCCAACCCAGGAGAGGGTAAAGCTCAGCTCCCTGGACAGGGCTCTGGTTCTTCCAGTCATTCACGGAAGCCAGAGCAGTCTGGTCGACAAGGTTAAACAGCTCGGGGGCTGAGGCAGAGACTCTGGAGGCACTTTCAGCTGGGTTTGAATCCTGGCTCCAGCATTTATGAACTTTGAGGCCCAAAAGCTATTTACTTATCCTCCGTGTGCCTCAATTTCCTCATCTGTAAACACAGGGATAATAACAATCATCTCACAGGGTGTTGAGGATTAAATGACATGACATATTATAAGTGTAAGAATATAGTAATTTATCCTCCATTTGCCCCATGGTCCCAAGCACATAAACCGGTGAGAATTATGCCTGGGCTTGCCTGGGGCTTGACTGGGTTTACCCCACCTTATCTCTAAACATCCTGACCCTCCCCCAAGGCAACAGGCCGAGTGGATCCGCCACAATAATACACACCACGCTGCTGCCCCCTCTCTCTCTGTCTGTCTCTCTGTCGCCCTGATAGCTCGCTCTCCCTCTCTCGCACTCTCCTCTCTGCTCTCTCTGTCCTGCTGCTCTCCCTGCTCTCTCTCCCTCTCTCTCTCTCTCTCTCTCTCTCTGCTCTCTCTCTCTCTCTCTCTCTCTCCCCACCCCTCTCTGGGGCAGCCACTCTCTCCTTCAGATAATAAAATCTCTTGCGTGGGCCCGTGTCTCCTGAGTCGTTCGGGTAAGGAGGGTCACGGCGGGATACCCTTTCAATAAGTACTAAAAACGGTCTGACACACAGCAAGCATACCATAAATTTCAGTATTATTTGTTTACGGTTTTTGTTGTTTAGAGGCTGAAGTTATTCTCATAAAATTCTCCTCAGGGGGAGGGTCCTTCTAAAACAAGGTTTGAGAGCCACTTGTCTAAAGAGGCTCGGCAGATTTCATGAGGTATTTTAAGTGCTTTAGTTTGGCAGGAAAATAGGTATAAGCATGGGTAGAAAAAGAAAAAGGCCAGAAAGTCCACTAAAAACCCCCAAAATTAATCAATTGAAGCTCAAAAAGCCAAGAGCAACTTGGCCTGGAATGTTTGAATACTCCCCAGATGAAGGAGAGTACCTCAGCACAGCCCATGTCTTTTTTGTTAATCATACAGGCCCAGCTTACTTTTTTACCTTTACCTATATGCTGTCTTTTTCTCCTTATGGCCCTAAATAAGCAGTTTGTAACCTAGGCAACTAATTTAGCATGCAGGCCCAGCTGTAAACAACATAGTGAAAGGCAGGAAGGATTCCATTTAAAAAATGTATTTTGATACCCAGGCAGTTAAAAATGTAAGATTCTTAACTTACTCTTTAGCAAACAGACAATAGCTCAGCCCACCTTGGGGGCTGGGCGGGCAGCCTGTTTGATCTGCGCCCAGACCAGGATGCCAGTATCCCAGGGAGAAATCAGAGCAGGAATTTCCTTGTTTTGTTAATTCTAAGTATTCAAAGACCACTTAACAAGTCTTCACCCCCAGCCCTTAGTCACATTCCTAAAGAAGCCTTAAAAGGGGGAACCCCCAGTCTTTTGGCACGTTCCTCTCTCTAGGGTCAACTGCACTTTCTAGGTGCATATCCTTTAAACCTTTTCTCCAACCTTTCAGGGGGTGCTCCTCTCTCTGAGGTCGCCCGCACTTTCTAAGTGGGTAACCTTTTAACTTCAAACTCTCTACTTTCAACCTTTCAGGGGACGCTCCTCTCTGTGGGGTCGCCCGCACTTTCTAGGTGTGTATCCTTTTAATCTTTTCCCAACCTTTCAGGGGTGCCTCTTCTCTGGAGAAGCCCACACTCCCCTTTCTCCAGGTGTGCTCCTTTTGCCTTAAATAAACTTCTCACTTAAATACATCGTCTCTGTACCTTTCCAGTAGTAAGTGTTTTATTACTTTGTCATTCCAATCCTCCAAATTCTGGCTTTAGCCTTCACTCTGTCCTATCTCAGACAAGTAGGGAGGGGCTGCTGAGAGCTCAGACCTGGGCTGGCAAATTACCATCGCCTGGGTGGCCAGGACCTGCAGCTTACAGTCATGCTCTTTAGTAACCTGCCTGAAAGTCTCCCTTCTTTACCTACAGGAAGTTCGCAGAACATACCCTCACTCCGCCCAGCGCTCTGCGGCTCCCCCAAAGCCTGGGATGGTAGGGACTCAGTTCCCATGCTGTGCTTGTGGGGTGGTAGGGACTCAGTTCCCATGCTGTGTAGATCCAAGCAGACGCTGGACACCAGGTGACCCTGGCTTGAAGAGTTAGCAGGGGTCGAGCCCCATGCTGAGTAGCTGTTCAATGAACTTCCTTTATTATTCTGTTCTGTCATTCCCTGACACTCTTGCTTTAATGAATTCCTTCCTCACTTGGTCCTCTGACTTCCCTGTGTCACTGAACCAAACTCTCCCTAACACTTTACTTTTAAAAAATTAACTAATTAACCAACCAGCTGTGAAGAATCCCTGTTGCCATGCACAACTGGAGATGCCTGAACTGAGCTTAGTAGAGCCACAGAGTAAGAGCTACCATTTACTGACAACTTACAATACCATCTGACACTCTGACACACACTTCACCTCAACACCCCCACTTACTCCTCAGCACATTTAGCAGCAGGTACTACTATTAGCAACATAACCATTTTGCCAGTGAGAGAACTGTGGCCCAGAGTCAGGATTTGCAGGTCTTCAGACCCCATGCTTGGGTCCTGGACACCATATATATACTGCCCACATTTGCTTTCAAATAAGATGATAAACACCTATCAAGTGCTTAGCATATTCAGTGAAAAATCATTGTTTCTAGGAATGGGGAGTGTAGATAGCAACTTGCTTGCTATTAAGGAATGACCTTTGGGTGTGAGCTGTGATATACAGTGGTAACCTGAAGCAAAAATACCCAGGTCCAGCTAACTCTGTTCCTGGCAACTGATTCATACAGTTGGTCAGTCTCAAAGTCCTCAAAGACTTCTGGAAGGTCAAGGGGGACGTGTGGGAAGACACAGGTGAACAGGACCTGTTCTGTTCCACAGAGCAAATTTCAGGTAAGGGAGACACATTGACCAACAGTATAGAGCAGCTGGGAAGCACCCTCATGGTGCTGCCACACAGGCTAAGGCCTGAGGGGAAAAATCCACACCTAGATGCTTGGAGGATTTCCCATTCATCTTTATTCAAACATTTCTAGACCCATGAAGAATGGGGAGATGGTCATGACTCCACCTTTACTCATTCCCTTCAGGGAACAGCAAACAGCCAGGAATTCAATTCCCTCACCAAATCATAAAAGCTTGGGATTTGGGAGTTTTAAGTGACTCTGATATTATCAGTCCAATACTATCATTTAGAAATGTGAAAACAGGATCAGGAAAGGAAAGGATAAACAACTATTACTGCAGGCTCTTTCTTCCAGTCCAGAGCCCCCACTGCCACCACCGTGGCTAGGTCAGCACACAGACAGATCACATCAGCTGTTCTCCAAGCTCCCTGTCTGGGGTCAAGGGTATAAATGTGAAGAATTCCCATAGTGTGACCAAGGGGGCAGGAATCAGCAAGCACTCTGAGCCAGACCCCAGCACCTGCCTCAGAACCAGAGCCTCACCTCCATCATCTCAAAGATGCTTTCTGGGTCCAGGCTGCCCTTCCCCACTTTCCTCATGCATGTCACAACTCCCATGCTGGTCACGGATACCAGCAAGCTGGCCAAGGAGCAGGCCTCCTCCTGAAGAGTAGCATCCACCACGTGCCGATAACCAATCTGCAAAGTCAGGGCAGCAGAGTAAATCTGTGGTAACACACATCCCAGAGCCCCACCCTTGACAGCCTCGTGGGAAGAATATCTGCCCTAGCAAAGAACTCTGCACTGCCTATTCAAGATCTTATTTTAGATTCTACTCATTTGGAAAAACATTTGAAGCAATGTTCAACAATTCTATCATAGGCCACTATGTGAGCAGAATAACAAAAACATGAAATGGAAATATGGGGTGGGGAGTGGGGTTAGACCTGTAATTCAGAGACCATCCAAGGCAGAGGCCACTGAGGCTTTCCAACTGAGAGGCCCAGGAGAAATTCACATGTGAGGCTACATGGATGTTTCACAGATAATAAAGTTGAATCAAGAGGGTCCATGATTAGGGACATGCTCAAGAATGAGTCAAGTGTAGGTGGCTTGGGTCAGTCCCAACTTCACCATATGTGAGGTTCATGAAGCGATTTTAGTGGAATTAAACCTAACCCGTCTTATCTTTATATACTGAATCCTGTGCAGAATCAGTGATAAGATCAGCCAGTCCCAGTCTCTCTGGACAGCCTTGAATCAGTGAGATGTCAGCCCCCAAGGGCCTCTTGGCTAATGTAAAAAGTACACCTGACATATTAGATGCCCAGGACCTGCTCCAACTCCACTTTTCATAGATGTGGACCTTGGGGCCCAACAAGGGGACAGTGTTCCTCTTTCACCACCCTATTACTATTCAACCAGCCAAGACTCCACAGAGATGAGAGAATTAAATGAAATATGCATACAGGATACTTCAGTGAAACGCCTGGTATATAGAAGGAGATTAACAAACTCTGGCTCCTATTACTATGAAATGCACTCACAGGCTCCTGGAATTCCATATTTTCCAATTAAAAAAAGGAAGAGCTGCTCATAGTATTGGTTTCTAAAATAACCAAATTACTGGATTTGGGCTAAACCTACTTCTATATGGTTTGTGAGACTATAATATGTCAATCTATTAAGTAACCTTAATGAATTGGGGTTGAAGGAGACCCACAGAAGATAAAAACCATCAGGTACAAGCTCATACTTTGCACAGGGTGACGATGCAAGGGACATTCTCCACACCTAACCGAACACAGTCATAAGGGTCATCAGATAGTTCAATGTCCTTTGACCCCTCTTCATCCTCTAGAACACGAACTCTTGGGATCCTGAAAAAAAGCACAATTAACACTCCCACCTACTGTGAGAAAGAAAGAAAACTTTCTCTTGAGACTGAGAACAGGAGTCAGAATCTCTGTTTCACATGATAAAGTCACACTCAGCCTGTACATTATCATCCTCACCCCTATCCATCCCTTCAAAAGCAAACAGGCAACACTATGTGCAGTGAGGAAAGGATATCTTTTTAAAACATGATGCTTGGTCAGTCAGATATCCATGCAGCACAAAAAACTAATCTTAATCCCTATCTCACACGATACACAAAAATCCATATAAAATGGACTACACATGTAAAGGTGAAAGATAAATCAATAAACCTTTTAGGAGAAAAACTAAGAATACCTTCATGACCTTGGAGTAGACAAAGATTTCTTGAACAGGATGCAAAAAATGCTTACCATAAAGGGAAAAAATATAGATTCAATTATGTTAAGATTACAAACTTCCAAATAATTGTCAAATCCACTGCACACATTTTTATATTGTGTCATTTGTAAACAAGGCAGAGAATCTTAAGTAAAAGGGAATCCTTCCAACTAAAATTGGGGTCTGGGGGACTTGTTAATATGATGATTTGTATGAAATTCTTTTTGGTTTTTATATTGTCACTCTCATGCAGAAATTCATTCATTACTCAGAAACCTTTCATTGACATTTTAGGCCTTTCTATCCAAGATACTCTGAATATGGAAAATTATGTGGGCCTATGGAAGGAAAGGACAATAAAATATACCACATATTTGTATAATCCTTTACTTTACTGGAATATTTCCATGTTTATTATTTTACTGAAGAAAAACATTGAAACAGAGTTGGACATTTTAATCACCTGTTACCCAGTTATGTTCCCCATAGACAAAAAAAACTACAAATGAAAGTATGGTCAGTGTTGCTCTCATTTCCCCAGCCACAGTCTAACACAATATCTGACATAAGGAGGGACTCATTCACTGAATAAAATAAAATGTGATTACTTGTTCAAGATCACAGTGCTAAACAATTATTGGAGCAAAGAGCAAAGACTGAATGCAGGCCTTCTGTGCCAACAGTAGTGTTTGCCCCTCTACAGCACTGCTAGCCTAACAGGACCTACCCATGAAAAGGCAGAGAAACTAGAAAAATAGAGTAGAATGTGAATATGTTTGAATTTTCTCTGAAACTGACCAACCTTCCAACTTTCAAGATGGCAGCAGGTAAACAGATGAAGAAGATAAACCATGAAACACCAGGAAGGCAACTGCTGAGAAGGCCCTGCCTGTACAATACCATATTTAGATATATATTTGTCAAAATTAACATACTTAGATTTATTTACATGAAGAACTATGCTCAGAAAGGTATTAGAAAGTGCTGATGAAAAAGTCTGTGAGCATGAAAAGATGCTCCACATCACCTGTCATCAGAGAAATGCAAATTAAAACCACAATGAGATATCACCTCATAACAGCAAGGATCACCACCATCCAAAAGACATACAACAACAAATGTTGACAAGGCTGTGGAGAAAGGGGAACCCTCCTACACGGCTGGTGGGAATGTAAATTAGTTCAACCATTGTGGAAAGCAATACAGAGGTTCCTCAAAAAGCTCAAAATAGAAATACCATTTCAACCAGGAATTCCACTTCTAGGAATTTACCCTAAGAATACAGCAGCCCAGTTTGAAAAAGACAGATGCTCCCCTATGTTTATTGCAGCACTATTTACAATAGCCAAGAAATGGAAGCAACCTAAGTGTCCATCAGTACATGAATGGATAAAGAACATGTGGTACATATACACAATGGAATATTATTCAGCCATAAGAAGAAAACAAATCCTACCATTTGCAACAACATGGATGGAGCTAGAGGGTATTATGCTCAGTGAAATAAGCCAGGTGGAGAAAGACAAGTACCAAATGATTTTACTCATACATGGAGTATAAGAACAAATAAAAAACTGAAGGAACAAAAGAGCAGCAGAATCACAGAACCCAAGAATGGACTAACAGTTACCAAAGGACTGGGGAGGATGGGTGGGAAGGGAGGGCTAAGGGGTGGAGGAAGAAAGGGGGCACTATGATTAGCATGTATAATGTGGGGGGAGGCATGGGGAGGGCTGTGGAACAAAGAGAAGACAGAAGTGACTCTACAGCATCTTACTATGCTGATGGACAGTGACTTCAATGGGGTTTGCGGGGGGCACTTGGTGAAGGGAGGAGCCTAGTAAAAATAATGTTTCTCATGTAATTGTATATTAATGATACAAAAAAAAAAGAGTCTGTGGGCTAAGAGAATATCAAAAGTTGGCATTTCCTTATTCTGCAAAGAGCTTTTTAAGCTAGTAAAGTTCCCAAAAGGGTAAGGCCTCCAATCTTGTTAAAGGGATAAACTTGGCCTGTGTCATTTCATTGGCCAGGACCGCTGAATACAAGCAGCATCCATTGACTACTTTTCATGTTGATTAAGTGGATTAAGAAATGAAATGAGCATGAGGGATTAAAGATGGCAGCATGAGAGGTGAGACACAAGTTTCCTCCTAAAACCACATATAATATGAAAAATATAATAAAACTAATCCTGAAAGAGCAACAGGAAATAGGACTGCACCAGACTGCATACACCTGGAGCAAACAGCTGACCTCACGGAACAGGGTACCGTACCAAAGCTGTGGCCTGGTGGGACCCAAGCCCTTCCCCCACCCCAGCTCACAGGCTGGAGGAAGAGAAATGGAGCGGGTAGGGGGTGGAGGCTTGGGACTGCTGAACTCTGGAGATCTGCTCTGGGAGCACAAACCTACATTTCATGGTGCTTGCATGGTACTCTCATGATTAGGGAGTTAGAAAGCTAAGACAGGCAGAATTCCTGGAGAGACTGAAACTCCAGTCGCTTGTGGAAAGCAGGGATCCACATCCAGCTTCTCTGCGACAAGAAAACAGCAGGCAGTCTGAGAGACTTCCTAATAAGGAAGTCCTTAGCAAGAGGGCTGCTATAGGGGCAAGGAGCACAGAGCTTACTGGTCAGGAGAAAGGACAAGTAGACAAAATTGTCCAGATGCACTCTGCCCAGCAGGTTGGGAGCTTTCAGGATCTTCAGGTGCTCCAGCTCCCTGGCTGGCTACGCAGCTCCAAGTACAAAATAAAAATACACAGCCTACGGCACCTTTCTCCCAGTCAGCCCCACCTGGCTAGCAAACCAGCATACCCTACCCTGGCATTAGGCCAGCCAGAGGGAAGACCTGTCTACAGCAACTACAAACACAAAGCATAGAGGATTATACCTGTGTGCTCGGCCCACTGGTTCAGGCAGTGGAGACAGGCATAGCGGCCGGGAAGCAGGAAACAGCTCTTTCCTCCCCCCAGGCACCAATCCCACACTCCCCTGTGATTCCCAACATTGCTTCAGGGGCTGAGTAGTTCCAGGGAGTAGACCTCCTGGGCACTAGAGGGTGCCATATACAAATATGAAATGCCAAAGAAACCTGGTTCAGAGTAAAATTATTAATATAACTCCAGAGAAAGATTTAAATGACATGAACCTCATGAATCTTCCTGAAAGGGAGTACAAAATAAAAATCATTAACATGCTCATGGAGGTACGGAAAGATATTCAAGTACTCAGGAATGAATTCCAGTTGGAAATCCGATCACTGAAGAGCACAATGGAGGGTATTAAAAGCAGATTAGATCCAGTAGAGGAGACGATAAATGAAATAGAAACCAGAGAAGAGGAAAACAAAGAAGCTGAGGCACAGAGAGAAAAAAGGATCTCTAAGAATGAAAGAATATTGAGAGAACTGTGTGACCAATCCAAACAGAATATTCGCATTATAGAGGTACCAGAAGAAAAAGAGAGAGAAAAAGGGATAGAAAGTGTCTTTGGGGAGGTAATTGCTAAAAACTTCCCCAGTGTGTGGAAGGAGATAGTCTCTCAAGTCATGGAGATGAACAGATCTCCCAACACAAGGGACCCAAGGAAGACAACACCAAGACATGGACCTCATAGTAATTAAAATGGCAAAGATCAAGGATAAGGACAGACTATTAAAGCAGTCAGAGAGAGAAATAAGATCACATACAAAGGAAAGCCCATCAGGCTGTCATCAAACTTCTCAAAAGAAACCTTACAGGCTGGAAGGGACTGGCATGATGTACTTAATGCAGTGAAGCAGAAGGACCTCGAACCAAGATTACTTAATCTGGCAAGACTATCATTTAAATTTGAAGGAGGAATTAAACAATTTTCAGATAAGCAAAAACTGAGAGAATTTACCTCCCACAAACCATCTCTACAGTGTATTTTGGAGGAACTGCTATAGACTGAATTGTTCCTAAGGTTTAATAGCTGTCAGCAAAGGTAATAGAACCACAGTAAAGAAAGTGGAACAGCTAATTACTAAGCAAATGTAAAATTAAATTAACTATCGCCAAAGTCAATCAAGGGATAGACAAAGTACAGAATATGATACACACTATATAAAGAATGGAGGATGAAGAAAGAGGAGGGAAAAAAAGAACCTTTAGATTGTGTTTGTACTAGCATATTAAGTGAGTTAAGTTAGACTCTCAGATACTAAGGAAGTTAACCTTGAACCTTTGGTAACCATGAATCTAAAGCCTACAGTGGCAATAAGTGCATACCTATCGATAATCACCCAGAATGTAAGTGGTCTGAGTGTACCAATCAAAAGACATAGAGTCAATGAATGGACAGATAAACAAGACCCAGCTATATGCTGCCTACAAGAGACTCACTTTAAACCCAGACATACACAGACTAAAAGTAAAGGGATGGAAAAAGATATTTCATGCAACTAATAGAGAGAAAAAGGCAGGAGTTGCAGTACTTGTATCAGACAAAATAGACTTCAAAACAAAGATAATCATAAGAGACAAAGAAGGACAATATATAACAATAAGTTGGTCAATCCAATAAGAAGATAAAACCATGATAAATATCTGTGCTCCCAATACAGGAGCACCTTCATATGTGAAACAAATACTAAC